CGGATGTTGAAGAGGACCTTACGCAGATCTTACGCTTCTGTATTTTTCACAGATGTGAACCATACTCCCAAGGGAAATGCTTACGCGAAGGCTCCTATTTGCAGGTGAGCGGGCGACAAACACATGATCACTAAAACTCCGAAGCAAAGGAAGCAGAGGATCACTAGCATCTACTTACTGGCTGCTGTAGGCAATGAAAAGTTGGCTTACGTGAACCTTACGCGGAGCTTACGCGAACCTTACGCCACCAAACCCTCACCAAACGGAGCCTGGCATGTTATGACATGTTATAATGGGGCTGACTTGAGAAAGGTTTGATACAGAGTGGCAAACACAAACAAGCACAGTGCACACACCTGAAACACTGTGCACAAAAATGTCAGTTCCCAAGGGTTTCAAAGCTCTCATGGTCCATACAGTTCCTTTGTTGACAAGTGTGTGCTAAGAATCTACTAATGAAAACACAACCATATGGCAAGCTTACGCAACATGCATGTCTCACAGCTCCCTTACGCAACCTTACGCTCTTCAGGTTTTTGCTTACGCCCAAGTTCCATATGACAAGGGCTTTACTTAGTTCATCTTGGGAGGTTTCTTGCGGTGCTCAATTGTTTGAAGGGACATCATCTCTTCAAGTCGTCTTGGAGAAACCCCCTCTCCATGGCTCGCACCAGCCCGGCATGGGCCTCTGCGCCTGCTTTTGCGTCTCTGCACCTGCAGTCGCGACAAGTGTGAAGGACCAAGAGCACAGTTGCAGTCCATACGTCCCGAAGGTGTTTCCATGCATGCAGGTGTGTATCACCCAAATGATTTCTTCGGCGCCTCAACGACAACCGCGAGGGAGATGGGTGCCGTCCAGGCCTCGCATTTGGGATTCAATCACCTGCCATCTGGATGGAGACATCGTGTGGCAAGCCAGCACGTCAGTACATCCCACTCAACATGTTTCGAAGCGGATCCCATTTGAATAGATTGTTTTGAAATGTTGCATGCATCCTCCGATTCCGCAATCTGCTATAAGTATAAGTAGAAGCATGTTTTGGGAGACCAAACCTACATGAGCATTTGTCGTTCGGGAAGCGTCCACAACCTGGTACTAGAACAGTATAAAAACACAAAGCAACAAAGCAAACCCAGACATGAAACTCTGGGTTAAATCGGATCCAATCGGATTGTTTGTTTAATTGTGAAAAACCAGCAAATGGCCTCCGTATACATAGGCGCGCCTCTGTCCCGTGTAGATGTTCAGAGGCTGCACGGGGGGAGGACACTGCAGCCATGAAGACCGCTGCAGCAGCAAGGAGCGTACCTCTTGGGCTGAAGGAAAACCAACAACCAGGCATTGGAGCTTGAGACGGAGGCAATCCACGTGCCTACATGGTATTTTTCACCCAGAATGCTTGATCTGATCAACTGCCGTCAATGCAGCTGAGCAACCCCCAATTCGTCCGGATGCTATTGCCCGAACATCTAACTCTTGTAAACACAAGCCTATGTCGTGAATGTGAGCTTTTGCACATTTAGATTATGTCCATTCACATTCAGCTGTTCTTCGTGCAATGCCAGCTCAGTCACGCTTCTCCGCCCTTCAACCACTCCTCCGCATAGGTTGCAAAGGACCCCACTCGACGCGAGACACTTTCACCTTTGGTGTCCTTCTTCTGCACCAGTTTGATGACCCACTCTCCATAATCAGGGTGATTGTTCATGACCCACTCTCGGGTCTTCTCCTTGTGTACCCCAAAGCCCATTGGCCTCGCGTCTTGGTTTGTCAGCTCTGGGTTGTGATCGATGAGCCATTCGGCAACTTCCCCCAAGGCTGGAGTGGCTTCTCCTGAGTGGTAGGTGTCCACGATCCAGATGCAGTAGTCTGGATCCTTGTCAAGCACATCTGATGTCATTTCACCCCTGTACTTGCCAAACTTCACCTCTGGTTCCGGGGACTGCAGCTTCGTCATCGAGAAAGCCAAGAACTGCCATCCCGCCACCAGAAGGAGACCACAATGGGCAGCACGAGAGCGGCGCATCATAGTGTTGTCTATACTTGTGCCTGACTTGGACACACCTGGAGCTGAAAGACCCTTGAACCAAATACGTGTGTGTGTGTGTGTCCACACCTGTGCCTGAGGTTTTGAGTCGTAAAGGACGCTACTAGGGCCCCTGGTTTTGCTACTAAGGGCTCCTGGCATCACTACTAACTTACAGTTTCTTACGCAGAAAAAGAGGCAGGGGGCTGGAGTGTGCCTCAGATGTCTCCAGCCAACGAAGACGCATCTGTCGCACAGTGATACAGTTCTGGGACGCCAGAACTACGTACCTGCCATTTTCAATTGGCTTTAACTGTTGACAAGCTGTCCAATCCTGTGTTTTGCAGTAAGCCGCTAATGCATTACCAAACAGTGTTCAACACCTACAAGTTGACTGACTTTACCACCTTGCGGTTTGCACTTCCTTCGGTTCGTCAAGTCAAGGGGAACTTCGTACTGATACTAGCTCTTGCGAGCAACCATCTCAGTGTGTTTCGCCACAGGGTCCCACTGAGGGCTGTGGTGTGATCCCCGTCAAGGGGCGCAGCATGTGCATAGACCCAGATCCTGGGGGATACCATGCCGCAGGGCTCACTGTGATTCTTACCCCTGATCGACCGTGCTGCACGATACCACTGATCTTATGCCGCAGGGCTCACTGTGATTCCCACTTGAGATTCACATGGAAACATGCGTCTAAGTATTCACAGGCGGGTTTTCGCACTGTGCTTTTGTTACATGTGTTTTTCAAGCTCTTCGGTTCTTTCTCTCCTTTTGTTGCTTTTCGTTTCTTGAGGCCTTTCTTTAGGTTCCAGGTGTCTTTCAGAGAAGGGGTGTGCCGGCCCAAATCGGCTATACTTGACAGCCAATGATGGCAAGGCCTACAGGCCACCCTAACCCACCCTCCCCCCTACCTCCCTACCCCTGGGCCTCGGTTGCTATCTCACCCGCTATTCGGGCAACGGAAGGAAATCGCACTCAACGGCAACGGAAGGAAATCGCACTCAACACACTTGTGTGTTGGTGCCTTCCCTTCCGTTTCTCCTACTCTATTGCTAGCTACCCGGGCGGTTTAAGACAAAAGGTCCCGCTGGCATTCTACTTTCATTTAACTAAGTGGACCTCGTAACTACGCCTATCTTTCCTTCTTGCCCTCTTAGTCTGCTTTTGTTTTGTTTGCTTTTTCTGTCTTTCTAAGGCTTTTTAGGTCGCTAGTAGTCTTCAACAAAAGCGCCAATATTGGCGCTATGTGTACAAAGTTTTGCGACCGGCGGACACCAACGACGCTACTAGGGGCTTCTGGCCTCGCTACCAAGAGCTAGGACGGTACTACCAGGTTGTAAGGACGCTACTAGCGACTCCTGGCCACGCTACTAAACTGCAAGCAAGGGTCAGCGCGCCGAGTACGGCTTCGTGTGACACCTGTGCCTAAGGTTTTGAGTCGTAAAGAACGCTACTAGGGCCCCTGGTTTTGCTACTAAGGGCTCCTGGTATCGCTACTAACTTACAGTTTCTTAACGCAGAAAAAGAGGCAGGGGGCTGGAGTGTGCCTTAGATGTCTCCAGCCAACGAAGACGCATCTGTCGCACAGTGATACAGTTCTGGGACGCCAGAACTACGTACCTGCCATTTTCAATTGGCTTTAACTGTTGACAAGCTGTCCAATCCTGTGTTTTGCAGTAAGCCGCTAATGCATTACCAAACAGTGTTCAACACCTACAAGTTGACTGACTTTACCACCTTGCCGTTTGCACTTCCTTCGGTTCGTCAAGTCAAGGGGAACTTCGTACTGATACTAGCTCTTGCAAGCAACCATCTCAGTGTGTCAATGTCGATCCTTCATGCTGCATAATATTATATATTATGCAGCAAAACGCAAGCACAAAAGACAACCTGTCACGGCTTCGTCTTGAATGCCCTTCGTTTTGTGTGCACGACTTCAGCTTTCCAAAGCAAGTGGCAAATATTGGCAAATCGGAACCACAAGACATAGAGGATGTCCAGCCCCAATTGAGCTCTGCAAAATACGTATGATTAAAACCCTATATGTCGCATAACTTTCTTACGCTCGCGCTTACGCCTTTCTTACGCGACCACAATGTGAGCTTACGCGCCACGGATGTTGAAGAGGACCTTACGCAGATCTTACGCTTCTGTATTTTT